ATTCTTTGAATTGTAATAAGAAAAAAAATATATAATTGATATTATTTATTCAGAATTTTTATTTATTCAAAATCATTTGAATTCTATAAATATAAAATTTATCTTAATTCCTTTTATTACATAAATATATTTTTATACCAGTAATCAGTTTAATTTTTCAAATCAAAGAAAACAACAGAATTTATTTTCTTTAAAGATGCATTATGTAAGATTTAGATAAAGAGCTGGTCGTTCTTGCTATAATGGTTCAAATATAGATAATGTAAAATGAATATATTGAAAATTTCATTCAAATTACTTTATTCTGAGGGAAGTTTTGGGTGTTGGAAGATTTAGGGCAGATTGTTTATAATCTTAGCAACGTTACTTGTTAATCGAAACTCAGCTTCGCTTCTCCATTTTTTGATTTAATCATAAAATGGCGATTGTATTTCAATCTGTTTAAATCTTCATCGTCTGCTGATCTAGAGAGTTGATTATAGGCTTGTCATGTGAATAAATGTCTAAATAATAACTTATATAACATTTGAAGCCAAAATAAAATCTGCAATAGACTGACATAGCTCTTACATAATGCATTTTTAAACGCAAAAAGTAAATTTGTACATGTAGTTCTGTAGGCTTCATGAATTCCACAAATAAATAAACAGTGTTACTAGGTATTCTGAAAAATTTAGATAATTTCTATTTTTATTGTAGGTATTAACACAAGAAGATTGGAATACCGTTTTATATAATGGCATGTCAAAAACTTCACCATGGGCTTCGCTGTATTTTATCGCATTAATGACGTTTGGAAATTACGTACTCTTCAACTTACTGGTGGCCATTTTAGTTGAAGGATTTGCCACAGACGTAAGTTCGTTGTTTCTGTTTTAAACTTGTATAGAAGGGTTTGGGTGCCCGAATGGTCTAGTGCATGCACTTAAGATCATAGGGCCTGTCGTTGAGTCAGGTGGTGTGGTTTCGTTTCCCTGCTTGTACATGACAAGGAATAGGGTGGCCTGTCCGACTGCCATGGGTTTTCACCGGGTCTTCCGGTTTCCTCCCACAGCTAAAGACCCCTGTGTGCAAGCAGATTATTGAAATAAAATTGAACCATGTGTTAGTCCCAAAATGACCTAGTTTGTGTTGATTAGATGTTAAACCCTCTCTCTCTCTCTCTCTCTCTCTCTCTCTCTCTCTCTTTTGAACTATAAAACAAAACGAAACAAAATAGGATCTGTGTTTTAATTAGATTGGTTCATAGCATGTTGGTTATTTTTGATACAAGGTCACAATTCTATTATGGCGAGTTCATTCTTCATCGCATGCTCATTATTTTTCTAGGATGAGGAGAAAAAGAAAGAAAAAGCAAAGGAAAAGGAGGAATTAGAGAAGGAAGAGAAAGAAAAACAAAGATTAGCCGAGAATAATAATATAGATGATCTACAAAAATTAAATTCTAGTGATCTCGATGTTAAAAATAATCAAGAAAAGGGTATGTAAAACGTCATTTAAATTTAACCTTATTATTATGCAGGGCCTGGTCACAAAGGGCGAGGGGGAGTTGTGGTGGCTCTGTGAGTAAGAGGTTGGGTCACTAACCTAGAGGTACCGTGTTCGATCCCTGTGTTGGCTGGGAAAGTTAATCGGGATTCTCTTGTCAGTTGTGTAGAGAACCTGGAAATAAACACCTGGGAAGGGACAACGTATCGTCGTTCAGATGGGATGAAAAACTGATGTCCCATATGTATACATTGGCATGCACGTAAAAGATCCCCTGGCAGTTTGAATTCCATAAAAGAGTAGGCCATATCGCCACTTTCTGGGCACAATTTTCCTCATAGCACAATGTATATCGTATGCCCGTCTTCATTAGCCTAGTCAGAGCAGAACAGTAGGCCTAGATTGAGCACGATTATCGGATCCAAAGGACTAACTGTGACATGGTTGATGTCCTCACCCTATAAAAATGAAAGGAAATGGGAGTTTAACATCACTGTGACTCCAAATAATAAGAGACACCGTGTGCTGGTCACCATTGAATTATTTTAGTCTCAAAATGGCCGATGTGTTTTGGTTAACGAGATGTTAAACCCATTCCTTGGAACCTTTCGAATGCTTGTAATTTTGAGAATTATTTTCTGTTTCAGAAAAGAAAATGTTAGCTCTTCCTCCTTCTGTAGCTGTTACCAAAGAAGAAAATACAGGTCAAGTTGTCGCGGTAACGGTTGCCGAGGGTCCTCTTAATCCACCAATCATCACTCATACAGCAGCTACACCCATGGCAACACCACAAGGATCACCCAATGAAAGTGCAGTAAAAGATATCAATAATAAATTAGCTGTAAGCGTTAATAGAACAATAAAACGCAGCTCGCTATCTGTAGATTCTGATAGATCTCCGGTATGGCTTTTATTAACCTTTAGATTATAGTTCCTTTTTATTTTATTCAACGCAATTAATAATCTTACACTTGCCCTTATTTTATTCATCGCAATTAATAATGCCATACTGGCCCTTATTTTATTTATCGCAATTAATAATGTTACACTGGCCCTTTATTTTATTTAACCCAATTAATAATGTTGCACTGGACCTTTAATTTATTTAACCTATTTAATAATGCCACAGTGGCCCTTTATTTGATTTAACCTAATTAACACTGGCCCTTTATTTTATTTAACCCAATTAATAATGTTACACTGGCCCTTTATTTTATTTAACCCAATTAATAATGTTGCACTGGACCTTTAATTTATTTAACCTATTTAATAATGCCACAGTGGCCCTTTATTTGATTTTACCTAATTAACAGGGGCCCTTTATTTTATTTAACCCAATTAATGATGTTACACTGGCCCTTATTTTATTTAACCCAACTGATAATGTCACACTCACACTGGCCCTTTATATTTTTTAACCCAATTAATAATGTCACACTGGCCCTTTATTTGATTTAACCCAATTGATAATGCCACGCTGGCTACTTTATTTTATTCATCGCAAATAATAATGTTACACTGGCCCTTTTTTTTCATTTAACCCAATTAATAATGTTACGCTTGCCCTTTACTTGATTTAACCCAATTAATAGTGTTACACTGGCCCTTTATTTATTTAACCCAATTAATAATGTTTCGCTTTATTTATTTTATTTATCGTAATTGATAATGTTACACCGGTTCCCTTTATTTTATTTAACCCAATAAATACTTTCTGAGGGGATATTTGGAACCTTTAGTTCTTGGTTATCTTGGTTCAAGATTGCAACATTTGGTTCATGGTACCTTTTATATTTGTTCTTGTTTTCTTTAGGTTATTTCACACAATAATTAATGATGTCATTCGATTTGAAGATGGCAAATTTGATTCCTTTCTCTTATTTATCACAATTAATAAGGTCAAACTTTCCCATTTGAAGATGGCAAACTTTTAATTATTAGTTCCAGAGACGTTATCAAACAGTTTTTACTAATCATCCTATTTACTAATAGTTGAGGTGATCTGAGAGAGAGAAATGGGGTTTAACATCCACTCGACTCAAACTAGGTCATTTCCGGACTAACATATGGTTCAATTCTTTATTTCAATAATTTGCTTGTGTGTAGGGGTCTTTAGCAGTGGGAGGAAATCGGAGGACCCAGAGAAAACCCATGAGGTTGGACAGACGACCTTACTCCTTATCATGTACGACCTGGGAATCGAAACCACACCAGTTGTTGACTTAATGATAGGCCTTATGATAAAACATGCACATGCTAACCATTCGGCCATACCTATTCAAACCATTTGCTTCCTGTTTCTTAGTTAACTACAAGGAGTAGGGTCATCTGTCCAACGCCGTGGGTTTTCTCTGGGTCCTCCAGTTTACTCTCACTGCTAAAGACCCCTACGTGCTTGCGAATTAATGAAATAAAATTGAACCATATGTTAGTCCTGAAATGATCTAGTTTGTGTTGAGTGGACATTAAACCCCATCTCTCTCTCTCTTTCTTAGTTAACTAGACTCAAGTGATAATTGATTGGTTTGGCCTTCGGATCATTTGCTGATAAAATATTGATTAGTAGAAGCTGTTTGTTTAATCGCACCTGGTGTTAGTCTGACAGCCATGTTGTCATGGAATGATATTTATTCTACAACTGCATCTTGTTTGAAACCTAGATATATCACATATTTTACTTTCAGTATTTAAATAGATGTTCTTTAGCACTAAAATTACCCCATAGATAGATATTGCTGCCACATGACTCTTTCTAGAACCAGGGTCCTGTTTCTTGAAATCTTAACTAAAGATAAAATTCAATTTTAGTAGATACGTCAATTTTGATTGGCTAAGCACTAAAATCAAGCTGATATTATCCAATCAAATTACTAAAATTTGGATTTTATCTTAGTTAAAGTTTCGTGAAACAGGCCCCTGTACTAATAGTTACAAGATGTGTAACATCTCAATCAGATTAAAACACAGATCTGATTTCGTTTCGTTTTTTATAGTTCAAAATTTCGTTTTACTTGTCTTTACTACACTAGGATCTGGAGGAGTGTTTTGCACGGAACTGTGGGTAATCCACTATAACATCAATGCTGATTGATTAATCAAAAGTCGCTCGTATGACCTCTGACTCGACCTATCGCTACAACTGGTCAGATCTTTATGTAGTGTAGGCCATCGAAAGTATAAAAAAAACAAAACGAAATATAGATCTGTATTTTAAGTTAGGGGAGTTAGATGGCCGAATGGTTAACACATGCGCTTTGTATCATAAGGTCTGTCATTGAGTCAACTGCCTTGGTTTCGGTTCCACGCTTGTACGTGACAAGGAGTAGGGTCACCTGTCAAACCTCATGGGTTTTCACGGCGAGATCAAAGCATGACATCACATCTGTATTTTAACGTCGTCTAATTACAGCTATTGAATTAATAGCTCATCATGATTTATGTCATATTTTTAACCTCTGTGTTTCTTTTTTTTCGTAGACAAGCCTTAGTTTTCGGGGCTCTCCAAGGCCTTCACCAAGGCTGCGTCGTACGTCCAGTCGAGGGAGTCAGCGTGGTAGTAGTTGGCGTTTGAAGAGTCGAAAACGTGATGGTGATAAAACAAGCCTCGTTGTCGATAGCCAATCAGATTCATATGATGATGTAGATGATGATGTATTTTTAACTAGTCCCAATTCCCAGTCCCCTACTTACAGCGCTGGTACGCCAAGAACCCCCAATAACCATAGGTAAGTAATTTTACCTTTATTCTCACCTCCCAGGTAGTTTCACATGGGTTCCATTCACTCAGATTCCGATATGCCCCCTTCCCAGGTAGTTTTACAGTGTTTCCATTCGCTTGGATACTGACAGAAAACACAAAATGAATTCCAAATTTGAAACTCTGACATCACTACTGTAATTTCTCAGGTTTGAGTCCTGGTGCGGGCCAAGAAGAAGCATGAAGATTTCTGAAACCCGACTCTCACTTTTCAGGGGTCAGCGTCTGGAGGGCTAACAAGGAAAGTGCCTTGTCATTAGGATGGGACAGAAAAACAAGGTCTAGTCATTTATGTAATAAAGATCCCTTGGCAGAAAGGTGGAAATACCACTGTCTCAGCGAAATTCTCCCCCTGCACACGTAATCATTGACATGTAAAAATGGCTGAGGAAATTATGCTGAGGTGACGTTTCCATGGCTGACTCATTTACGTCACGAAGTTTAAGGCCTTGTAGGCCTATCTTATAATTGTAAATTTTGGGATATTAAACTTTTTTCAAGTTTAAGTTCGCTAGACTGACATTTTATGTCTTGTAGGCCTATATGATGGTTGAATCGTTTTACGCGTACGCTTTAGAGCATAAGGTCTGAAATGGATTCAAGTGGTGTGGTTTCAATTCTAATAACCATTATTACATGCAAGCGAATTATTGAAATAAAACTTTACCAGAGAATATGTAGCCATATTGTGCATATAATTCATAATAATAATAATGTATGAATTCATGCTTCTGTTTTTGCTGTTAATTCACAACTATTTTTGATTTGTGTCTTTTTGTATGCATGAACAGATTTTTAAATTTTTTCTTCTGTTTAAATGTACAAAGTTTTATATCGCGATCTTTCAGCTATGAATGTATGTGAGTTAGTTGTATTTTACGTCCGCTTCCAACGAGAGTGATATCGTATACCAGCCGCTATGAATTCTCATTATCTCTTTTATACGGTTTTATAGTAAATTTTTCATCTTTTTTCTCTACGCAGTTTTTCTGTTACGTATGTCTTCAGGTATTATGATTTAACCAATTAAATTGCATGTAACATGATTGATGATTGGTTGATATTAGTTTGGGTTGATGTGTGTAGCTGTCTCATTGGTCAGGACTTTCACTTTATAATGTTGCCAATCAGTCAGTTTAAAACGTGCAAGCTATTTTAACTGCAAAATATGAAAATTTTGAATTTTATCCCATCACATTAAAGCTATAAATTTAACCGTATTTGTTGTATTCTAAAGCTCACTGGAAAAGATTCATAAATTTTTTAAATAATGCAAGGAATTATATCAACTTATCCTTTCCTTAAGTGTAACACTATCCCGAATGTCAATGTTACCTGCCACAAGTAAATTTCAACCGGTAGATTCCATCAATAAACAAGCTGTGACATCATTTTAGTTCTGCTGCCCATAGAAATATAGGCTAGAATATGAGCTTTTTTATTGGTGGAAAGTTATGACTACTCACGGAGAACCGCGGAAATTGCAAACGTTCAAATTTACCTGTGGCAGGTAACATTGACAATCGGGAAGGTGTTATATTTATGGAAAGGATATGTTGACATAATTACTTGAAGTATACGAAAAAAATTATGAAGCTTTTCCGGTGACCTTTAAGGATAATTTTATGACATGTAAAATGATTGACAGCCTGTCAATTTCACAGTCAGTCAGGTCAAGATTGGTAAATATAAGTGAAATGAGAGCTCTATTGGTGATATATGTATGTTTGTGTGTAGTGGTTGATATTGGTTTTGGGCTGATATCAGTGTTGTTGACATTTGTATTAGTGTGTATTAGGGAAGTATCCAAGTGTGATTTTGTGTATTTGTCATGTATCCATATGTTGTTTTTGTGTATTAGTGAAGTATCCAAATAAATGTTGTTTATTGTGTATTAGTGAAGTATCCAAATGTTGTTTTGTGTGTGGTTAGCGCGTGTGCATTGTATCATAAGTTTGTGTTGAGTGGCTGTTAAACCTCATTTCTCTCTCTCTCTGTTTAAGTAAGACAAAGAGATTGATATTTTTAAAATTCCTTTATTCCAATTTTATTGAATATCATAGGTCATAACAGGATATAGTTCATAATCAAAACAATCTTTAAAGTTACAATTTCATATTTTCTAAGAAAGTCAAAACATAATTATTTCTATGTCTTTTGCTTAATAGGTTGTCAACTCACTATTATACGATCATAGGTGTCATTCTCACACTTAAAACTCATGGATACCATCTATTTAAGGCTTTATTTTAATAAATTTTAAAAATATAACTAAAAAATATGAAATTGCAACTTTAACTGTAAATGTTGTGTGTCCTTGTTATGTGATTTGTAAATTTTGTGTTGTAAAACTGATAATAGTTTCCCAAAGTCCATTCTCGCTATCCCCAGTGGTATCATTGAACCTACGCTCTGCTGATAAAAACTTACTTCATGTTCCTACAGTAAAAACTAAAACTGGTGAACAGGCTTTTGTTTACGCCTCCGCTATACTATGTTGCTGTTTTTAAAAAAAATCTTAAAACCAAACTTTTTAAACGTGCTTTTAAACTATGAACATGTCGACTTTTTAATGTTTTAGAACTATTTGTTTTACATTGTATTTATTTTAATTATGAAGAGCGCCGCGGAGCAGCTGTTAGCTGGAGCACTCAGTGCTATACAAATTGATTATTATTATTATTGTTATTATTCTGTTCTACTCCACTATACCCTGGGTTCATCCATGTGGTATTCACATATTCAAATTATCTACCCTTGATCGTAGCTTGATCTACGAACCAATCAAAAAACAGTTTACAAACCAATCTCAGTTTTTATGCCAGTTCTTATGTATTTAAAGATATTTTGATTGGTCAATAAAAATAGCACAATCATCAAGGGCAGATAATTTGAATATGTGTCTGCCCATGGATGAACCCAGGGTATAGTGGAGTAGAACGGAATGAGACCACTGGGGATACGGAGGATGTCCAATCTCATGTAGAAAAAATGATAGCGGTCTTCACAAATATAAATTTAAGGGTGTTAAACTTTGTCAACTAAATGTGAAAGGAGCTAAAGGGTTAACTGGGAGAGTCAATATTTCATGTTTCTCGACAATTTAATCCAACTTTTTCCAAAAAATAAAATACAACCTTATCATTTTTTGTTTTCACATTTATATTTATTTTCATATTTCCAATAAAAACAGTTTATTCTTATTTACTCATTTCAAAAGATTAATTTTTACATTTTTTGTCTTTCACCAACATCACATTTTTAAGTTTACCTCTAAGTGCAAGCGAATTATCGAAATAAAATTGAACCATGTGTTAGTCCGGAAATGACCAAGTATGTGTCGAGTGGATGTTAAACCCCATTTCTCTCTCCCTCTCTCTTATTAAGAACACTGTTTGTCTGGATTGCAAATTCTTGTGGTTTACGTTATCCAACTATTACTTTAAAACTAATTAAATACTGACTTCTAAGTAGGTTTAAAGATACATTATTCAAAAGCGAAATCTGCCTATTACAGGTCTTTCTTTAGGCCTTAAATGTTATATTAATTAATAATTAGACATTTATTAACAAAATAAGACCATAATCAACTCTTGATGTCATTGGATGGCTCCGATTTTAAGTAGATTAGAATGGTTCGTCCATTGAATGACTTAATTTAAAAATGGAGAAATGAGGCTAAGTCTCGAATATACCAGTACCGTGGTTACGATAATTTAAGAACAGTAGTTCAAATTGTTATATTCTGACTAAAGTCATAAAAAAAAAATATATTTAGATTATTTAGAACCCATCTTAAATAAATGTTGATGATCGGTGAATTTAGGAAATTGCCATACGATGATGTAATCTAGGTATAAACACAAACGGTCACTTGTCTTTATGTTTGCGTCACTTTGTCATCGTTGATGAGCGACTAAAGTGCTGCTTCATGGACCAGGATGTCCTTGTTTCTATACCAGTGTTGGACGAGAAATTTACTCTGGGATTTTCCACCGTGGTTCCCCCTTGTCAGTGAGGTAGGATAGAGATCCTGGCAAGGAAAGATGTCTAAATGTTCGGATGGGACAAAAAAAATGTGGCCCCATTAAAGATTCCTTGACAGTTTGGAATTGAAATAGGCTTTAACCCCCGCTTTCCAGACAAATTATATCTCATAGAAAAGTAAGCCTTTAATCTCCATTTCTTTTGATTTCATTTTATTAACATGATTATAATTTTATTATTTCAGTCGAGATTGTAACGGTCATCCCCCTTTGAATAATCAACGAACTTTAAGTCCCCAAAACTCCATAAAAGGAAATGCACCACAAACACTCACGCCAAAAAATTCCATCAAGTCAAATCACAGCTGGAGTCGCAATAATTCGGTGACGAGTAACCGAAGTGGGTGCAACTCCTTTGAACTTAGTCGTCAAAATTCTTTCACAAGTCATCGAACTTTAACCTCTGTAGGAAGCGGAGCATCAAAAGAAGAATTCAAACCAAATAATTTAAATGATCCACCCAGTGGTTCCGAGAGTCCAGCTGATGAGCCTGATCCTGATGCCATGGATGAAACAGTAAGTTTTCCTTCCTGTCTTTTGGGGGGGTTGGATGGCCGAATGGTTAGCGCGTTGTATCATTAGGTCTGTCATTGAGTCAATTGGTGTGGTATCTATTCTTCGGTTGTACGTGACAAGGAGTCAGGTCGCCTGCCCAACCTCATGGGTTTTCTCTGGGTCCGCCGGTTTCAGCCCACTGCTAAAAGACCTCTACACGCAAGCGAATTATTGAAATAAAATTGAACCATGTGTTAGTCCCGAAATGACCTAGTTTGTGTTGAGTGGATGTTAAACCCCATTTCTCTCTCTCTCTCTTCCTGTCTTGGGTGGTCGATGGGTATAGTGGTCTAATGCATGTGCTTTAGATCATTAGGTCTGTTATTAATTCAAGTAGCATAGTTTCAATCCTTAGCCTGTACCTGACAAGGAGTGGGTTTCCTCCCACTGATAAACGAGCCCTACACGCAAATAAATTATTTTAAATAAAATTTACCATATGTTAGTCCCAAAATAACATATTTTGTATTGAGCAGACATTAAGCTATACTGCTGTGTATGTCCGATTGAGAGTTACAGAATTTACATTTTCTTGATTACATGGTAAAAAAGACGGTATAATTTATCTATTTTCATGGTGAAACTTTCATTCGTAACCACAGTAATTTTAGCGTTAGGGTTAGGGATGGGGTAACCCTAATAGAGATTACCCAGTCATGGTTAGGGTTGGGATAATGCTTATAAAGATTAGCCTATGGTTAGGGTAATCCTAAATACTGTATTTATGAGGTTACTGTATTTATGAGGCAGTCCTAAATTTATATTTTGCAGTATTGATTATTTTTGTTTTGCTTGTTTAGGACTGGAACTGTTCTTGGTGTCCAGAACCAACCGGTTGTTTTAAAACTCGTCATGAATATTCACTTTATCTAATGTCACATAATCACAGGTGAGTCATTTAAATAATTGTCTGTACAGTCTCTGTCTAACCTTGGGACTTTTCCCAAGGTCCTTCAGTTTCCCCCCCCCCCCCACCCCCCACCCCCCCAACTACTAAAGAACCCTTTACATAATAGAATTATTGATATAATTTGCATCAAGTGGATGTTAAACCCCATTTCTCATTTTGATATTCACTGTAGCTGTTGTCCTTTAGGAGGGGTATTACAGAACATCTGGTGTCCCATATGAGGGGTATTTCAGAACATGTGATGTCACATAGGAGGGGTATTCCAGAACACCCGATGTCCCATAGAAGGGGTATTCCAGAAACACCTGATATCCCATAGGAGGGGTATTCCAGAACGCCTGATATCCCGTCTCATTCAGCAAACAGAGCTAATCAAAGCTGTTTTATCTTCTGTAAAAAATACAAATGTGACGTCATCATTTAATGTTAGCGTATAATTATTTCAATAGTTCACTCATTTTGCCAATCCGACATTATTCATACAAGATGGCGGTCATAGAAATGCAGGATAATGTAATCAGTATGTATTTTATGCAAGATGGCGGTCACATGATGATTTCATAGAAATACGAGATAATGTAATCAGTATGGTGTTAATTAATATATTTTCTTAAATAATTTTATTTCCAGATTACGGCGACTGTGTCATTATTTCATATCGCGACCATGGTTTGACAATGGTATTTTGTTTTTTATTGCTTTAAACTGCATCACGTTGGCCATGGAGAGACCAGATATTCCACCAGATAGTGTGGTAAGTTTTCAAAACTAGAGTAATTAATTCATATAAATACATGCAACACTGTAAGCCGGTTGTGTTGTTTTAGCGATTTAGAAATATACGATTTCTTTATTACATTAATTTAATCCAATTATCTGTTTATGAAATTGAATGCTCTGTATAATTAGTGTTATTTAATCCTAGTAAATAATAATATAATGATCTAACTATAACAGCAATGTTGTATTGACACTATCTGATTAAAACACAGATCTATATTTCGTTTCATTTTTTTATACTTTCGATGGCCTAAGATCTGACCAGTTGTAGTGGCAGGTTGCGTCAGCAGTCATACGAGCGGCTTTTGACCCTATGACGTCAGACATTGATTAATCAACCAGCGTTGTCCTTTCTAGTGGTTTACCCACAATTCCGTGCATCGCACGCCAAGAATTCGTCGTAACAGACTATTTCATTGGCTAATCCCTCACATTAAAGAGAATGCAGGTTATATAACAACTCTTCCAGATCCTAGTGTAGTAAAGACAAATGTAACGAAATTTTGAACTGTTAAAAACGAAACGAAATAGGATATATAACAGTGTAGTCGATAGGCACTAACATCAGTGAAGTCTCGCTAGTAATTAAACAGACTGTAGTCTAAATGTCTATAAGACATCAACATCAGTGTTGTGTTAAAGCCCCTGTGTCCCTAGCAACAAAAGCACAGTGTGAGCTTTCTCAATATCACTGAAAACTGCCATTTTATTGTTTCACAAATTGTTTTGACTCTGGATTCTTATTTCATTCTTATTGACTGGTCCGGAGTAGAATTCAGTGAAAATAATCAGCTTTCAAATTTATAAATCTGGTTAATTTTAAATATTAAATATGCACCTTTAAAAATTACGTATTTTTTTGATTAAACATACATTATGCAAGAGCTAAATCTGCCTATTGCAGGTCTTTCTTTAGGCTTGAAATGTTATCTAAACTATTAATTAGACATTAATTAACTTATCCAGACCATAATCAACTCTAGATGGCATTGCTAGCCTGCGATCTTAAGTGAATTGTGAGCCGATTTACTGCATAACTTTCCTTCTCCATTAAACGATTAAATGGATATTCAAGACTATGCTGTTTATCGTACTGACTTTAGTAATGATGACCGAGGCTATGCAGAAATTACATTCGCTTAGTTCTCGGTTCATAGTGGATCAATTTGAATGAAATTTTCAGCAAATTGCCTTTACGTTATCTAGTTTTTAATTATTATAGTGAGAACCGCCAACTCGTTATCGAATCTCCCATAATGTATCTTTAAATAAGAAAAACCAAATAACCTCAGCCGGCAATATTTTTATGATTCATTTAAGAGCTTTGAGCTGAACTCATTTCAGTTTTAATTGCTTTATTTTATGTTTTGGACCAGGAACCACTCCCTGAACGCTACTCACCTTCTTCTTCCTTGGGGGTGACATGGAACTGGGCATGCTTGTTCCTTGTACAATTGGCGGGGGGGGGGGGGAGGGGTGGACTGCCGAATTGTTAGTGCGTGTGCGTTGTATCATAAGGTCTGTCATTGAGTCAACTGGCATGGTTTCGATTCCCCGGTTGTACGTGACAAGGAGGAGGGTCATCTGTCCAACCTTGTGGGTTTTCTCCGGGTCATCCGGTTTCCTCCCACTGCCAAATACCCCTGCACGCAACTGAATTATTGAAATAAAATTGAACCATGTGTTAGTCCCGAAATCACCTAGTGTGTGTCGAGTGGACCTTTAACCCTCTCTCTCTCTCTCTCTTTCTCTCTATCTTTCTCTCTATCTATCTCTCATGCCGTGCTTGTTACTGGTCCATAGTAGGTTCGTAATTATTTGCGTAAAAATCATCGACTCTGTCACTTATTATTTAAATGTTGTTTGTTTTTGTGAGTATTACGTATGATATTATTTCAGATGGCTTACGAGGTAATTTTAACATTAGAAAGAGATAGGTGATGTTATAATGATTGTGTGAACTGTTTACTTTGAGTTGTTTGAAACTTTAGATTTTAGTTCATTTTTTAATTTTAAAAGCATTTTTTATTCTGTACCAAAAAATTGTGTGGTTTTGTCTGGTTTGAATTCACTTTTATAATTTACACAAAAAGCAAAATGTGTGTGATGTTAAATGAAGGCTAATTATAATTATATATTCTTTATTAGCTATCAGACGTACGTCTGCCTTTCATGGTTACATATATAAAAGTCATGATCTACAGATACACAAGGACCGAGGCGTCCTCTCACTGCACGTGCGCTATGCGAATCTAATTAATATTCATGAGTCTGACATGTGACAACGTAAATGAACTCTGGATGGCGTACACAGCGCGTTATGATGGTGCTTGACACTCACAGTCATATAATTGGTTTAATTTAAATATCTATCCTGCTGTCCAGTGGAAGCATATTTAACATTTTACGAAGCCACAGCGACTCGGTAAATGTGGTGCTGATGGAATAACCAGGAGATTCCTGAGTTCGAACCTGATATTGGAAATCCGGGAGTTCCCCCGCCCACCCCTATCCTTGGCTTGCGCAGAGAATACTTTTTTCCCTTCTTCTTTCATGGAAATAATGCCCCTTTGGCTCACTCCACTGTAATCATATATTGTCTCAAGCTTCTGATCAAATTCGCGGGTAGTTTCCCCCTGACCTAATGACATCGTCTCCACCTTGGACACCCCCCCCCCCCCCCCTGCTTAAAATCACTGGTGTCCTCATAAAACTGTCTTCCCTTTCAATACTCATGTAACCATACAAATAAAAAGTCCATAATATGTTAGTCTGAAAATGATCAGAATATTGAGTTGACGTGACGATACTTCTTCGAAAAAAAAAAACAACCCAATATCTTATTCATCAAATATCGAAATAGTGGTAGGGAGAGAGGCAAGGCCTGTATTCACTCACTCTCCCTAGGCATGGTCTTTACATACTGTTAATAAGCATGATTATTGAACCCGGTTTCAATTGGTTAATGAATAAATTGTTTGCTTGAGCTTTCAAGTTTGCCATTCTTGAACGGATATTAAGATTTATTAAGTTTATAAAGATTAAATGTAAAAAATGATCGAACACCTTGTAAATGCTGTTGAATCCCTGGGGTAGATTAGTTTGAATTTAAAGTCTTGTTTGATCTGTGTGGAATCATGTTCCTGAAGCAACGACTGCGTGTTTTACAACAACTGGACTTTACAATTCCCGAAATTATAGCTATGTTATGTACACACATGTGGACAACAGCGTCTAATCAGAGGTTGTGACATAGCGACCTCAACGGAAACCTTGACATTGAACGAACTTTGAACTTTGCAACTCAATTATCACAGGTAGACATTTTACTTTGAAAGCGCGAGACTTGGTATTAGCGATGATCGAGGAATCTGATAGGCTCCTAAGCTGTGTGAATCCCCAATCGAAATCAGTACCGAAAAATGCAGGGTATTACGTGAAAGCCTTGATAAGATGTACGTAGTTAAAGCGAGATCAAGCCTTCTATTGAAGATGGTGTAGAAGATGGGAGCCACGATGATGAAAGGGGTTCGATCCTGGTGCTGGCTGAGAAAGTTCCATTGTGTTTTCCCCCTGTTAGATGTGTTGGATGGAGGGTCAGGCAAGCAACAGGGTCTAGTCAGTCGGATGGGATAACCAACCGAGGTCACATGTACACATTGGCGTGTACGTAAAAGAAACTTTGACAGTTGGAATGCAATTGCTGCCTGGGCTAAATGTCCCTCATAGCACACTGTATGGAGTGGGTTAGCCTGGTAGGAGCAGTACAACGTTCAAAATTCAATTTCAATCCTTCATTCAATGTTTTGAATATGTTACGGGTTGTATGTTTCAAATACAAACAATACCATAATAGCCTTCAATAAGATATAGTTGTCAAACAATGAATTTACCATTTTTTTAAAAAAAAAATTTAATATTTTTTTTTCTTTTGTGTTATTTTCTATTTTCGTTGATTAAAAAAAACTAATAAAATGTTGTTTTATTTTTTGTTTCAGGAGCGCCAATTTCTTACCTATGCCAATTATATTTTTACAACAATATTTTCTGCCGAGATGATAGTAAAGGTATATTCATTAACTTATACCTGTATGTGTAGTCCCCACTTGTATATGACAAGAAGTAGGGTTGTATGTCCAACCTTGTGGGTTTTTTCCAGGTTCTCTGGTTTCCTCCCACTGCTAAAGATTCCTACGTGCAAGCGAATTATTGAAATAAAATTGAACTATATGTCAGTCCCGAAATGATTAATTTTGTGTCGATATGTTGAATGATCGAATGTGTATTCTTTAAATCGAAAGATCTGTCATTGAGTCAAGTGGCAAGGTTTTGATCCCACACTCGTATGTAACAAGGAGTAGAGTTGCCTGCCGAAACTCTTCACTCAAAATGAAAATATACCAACAACAAGCTAGAGAATCCATGAATTTATATTGTATATTCCAGGTTATAGCTTAAGGTGTATTATAATATTGTAAATTACATGTGTATTATAGGCTACTATGTATTACATGTGTATTATACTGTATATTATATGTGTGTTATATTGTAACATGTGTATTGTATTATATATTACTTGTGTATACGCATGTGTTATATATTAAATGTGTAATGTATTGTATATTACGTGTGTTATATTGCATATTATATGTGTGCTATATTGTATATTACATGTGTATTATACTCTATATTAACGTGTATATTACATATGTATTATACTGTATATTACATGTGTGTTATATTGTATATTACATGTGTGTTATATTGTATATTACATGTGTATTATATTGTATATTACATGTGTATAACATTGTATATTACATGTGTATTATATTGTACAATACATGTGTAATGTATTGTATATTACATGTGTAATGTATTGTATATTACATGTGTCATGTATTGTATATTACATGTGTCATGTATTGTATATTACATGTGTCATGTATTGTATATTACATGTGTATTATATATCAAACAAGTGTATTAAATTATATTGTATATTACAGGTGTACTATATTGTATGTTACATGTGTATTGTATTGTATATTACATGTGTAATGTATTGTATATTACATATGTATTATATTGTATATTACATGTGTATTGTATATCAAACGTGTATTTTATTATATTGTATATTACAGGTGTTATAGTGTATTATGTTGTATATTACAGGTAATAGCTAAAGGTGTTATAGTAGGAAAACATGCATATTTAAAGAGTGGATGGAATGTGATGGATGGTTTCCTTGTTGTTATCTCCCTTGTTGATATAATTATCTCCCTTAGTGCCTCAAGTTCTCCACGTATCTTTGGTATTCTGCGGGTGTTCAGACTGCTCCGAACATTACGACCCCTGAGGTACGTATCTGTTAATAAAACACAACTATCCCTCAGATAAACTGACCCTGATCATGTATTTATCGGTAAATATTTAATTATCCTCGGCCAGGTCTAAAATCTATTCGAGTTGATTAGTTACATTTAATTAAACATATATTATGCAGGAGCTAAATTAAATCTGCCTATTGCAGGTCTTTCTTTAGGCCTGAAATGTTATGTGAATTATTAATTAAAAATTAATTAACACATCCAGACCATAATCAACTCTAAGTGCCATCTCTAGCCTGCGATATTTACTGATTTAACGTTAAAATGGATAATCAAGACTTTGTTTTTTATCCTACCAACTTTAGTAATGATGATCGAGGCTAGCCTAAAATTCAAAAGCTAATATCCTGGTTCAGAGTGGAGCAATTTGACTGAAATTTTTAGCATATTCTCTTTACGTTATCTATTGTTAAACTATTATTGCGAAAACTGTCAACTGTTTATCTAATTTCCCATAATGCCCTTTTAATAAATGAAATTAATTTTGTTTTCTTGTATTTTTAGAGTTATAAGTCGAGCACCAGGATTAAAATTAGTTGTACAGACACTTTTATCATCATTACGTCCAATTGGAAACATTGTTTTAATTTGCTGCACATTCTTCATTATTTTTGGTATCCTAGGAGTACAGGTCAGTATTTCTCCATTTTTTTTTTTTTTTTTTTTTATAGTCAGATATCACTGTAACCCAAGTATAATTTAATCTTGTGTATCTAGCACTAATTTCTTTCACATTCATTCAATATCAAATCTTTGTTTAAAATCATCCAAAATCATCTAATTCCTACTTGTGTTAAGTGGGCCTTAAACTCTCTCTCTCTCTCTCTCTCTCTCTCTCTCTTTCAGTCTTGAAATTACATAGTTTGAGTTTTGAGTGGGCGTTAAACTCTCTCTCTCCCCCTCTCTCTCTCTCTCCTGAAATTACATAGTTTGTGTCTTGAGTGGGCGTTAAACTCACCATCTTTTTTTTTACAGTTATTTAAGGGATCTTTCTTCTACTGCAAAGGACCAAGTGCACTTCATATACAGAATAAAACCCAGTGTCTAGCTGACAAGAGCAACATGTGGATTAATCAAAAATATAATTTTGATAATTTGGGTCAGGCGTTGATGTCATTATTTGTATTGGCATCTAAAGATGGATGGGTCAGTATCATGTATACAGGATTAGATGCTGTCGGTGTAGATCAACAGGTGAGGTTTCAGTTATTGATATTTTATTTAAAAAATGGGTGGAGCAAATTATTGAATTAATGTAATAGCATATGTGGAGGGTAGGTGCTCTGATGATGTAGATCGTAAGGTCTGTTATTGAGCCAAATGGCTGGGGGGTTGGATTGCAGAATGATTAACGCGTGTGTATCATAAGGTCTGTCATTGAGTCAACTGGCGGGGTTTCGATTCCCCAGTCATACGTGACAAGGAGTAGGGTTGCCTGTTCAACCTTGTGGGTGGGTCCCTCCAGTTTCCTTTCACTGCTATAGACCGATAATGAAAAGTGGGGAGAGGGGGATGGCCGAATGGTTAATGCATGTGTGCTGTATCATAAGGTCTGTCATTGAGTCAACTGGCGGGGTTTCGATTCCCCAGTCATACGTGACAAGGAGTAGGGTTGCCTGTTCAACCTTGTGGGTGGGTCCCTCCAGTTTCCTTTCACTGCTATAGACCGATAATGAAAAGTGGGGAGAGGGGGATGGCCGAATGGTTAATGCATGTGTGCTGTATCATAAGGTCTGTCATTGAGTCAACTGGCTGGGTTTCCTGTCAAACCTCGTGGGTTTTCTCCGGGTCCTCTGGTTTCCTCCCACTGCTAAAGACCTCTACACGCAAGCAAATTATGGAAATAAAATTGAACCATATCTTAGTTCCAAAATGACCTAGTTTGTGTCAAGTGGACATTAAACCCCATCTCTTGAGCCAAATGGCAAGGGTTCAATCCAGAGCAGTAAGGTCGTCAGCTTAACGGCATATTTTTTGTGCTGTCCTGCAGTTTCCTAATCATTGCTCCAGTTGGCATGAAGTAGTGACTAGTGTAAATCATGCACAATACAGGATATGCTTACTCTTTCTAGAACAACTGATAACACTGCTACATGTATGTAGTAACATGAGATGTACATATGTGGCAGGGTATGCTTACCTTTCCTAGAACACCTGATACAACTTCTCAATTCTCATAAACAAACTAATGACATGGTGACATACTAGAGGCAGGGTATGCTTTCTAGAACACTTAATGACAGGGTGTCATACTAGAGGCAGGGTATGCTTACTGTTTCTAGAACACACAATACTACTTAATAACAGAGTGTCATACTAGAGGCAGGGTATGCTTGATCTTTCTAGAACATACGATACCAGATTATTGTAGTATTTTTTACATTTTAACATTGTTTGATGTCTGCTTCCATTTCAGCCACAGGAGAATTACAGCGAGTGGCGCCTCCTTTATTTCATCTCCTTTCTCTTATTGGTTGGTTTCTTCGTCTTAAACATGTTCGTCGGGGTCGTCGTAGAAAATTTCCACAAATGTCGAGAAACCCAAGAAATGGAAGAAAGAGCTCAAAGATTTGCCAAACGGCAAGAAAAGTTAGAAAAGAAACGCAAGAGTGAGGGAGTTTCTACAACTAGCACTGGTTTGTAATCATACTGAGTCTGGCTTGATAAACAGGACTACATTAATGTCTTGAACACCAGGGTGCAATTGAAGTGTTGCTTCACTTGATATGATGTTTATAGTAATCTGCTGAAGGCATTCGTTGTGCATTAAGTGGATATAGCTGTAGAATTTTGCATGACATTAAACGGAAAATGCAAAAATTGAAATTATTAAACTCAAACCATAGCTTAAAATATAAATTTGATCATCAATTTGTAGATTTTTTTTTTTTTTAGAAAGATTGAAATTATTATGATTATTATTTGTGTTTACTTGAGAGATTAAATTAGGTTTCTGTTGCATGTTGATTAAGAAAGAAATATGTGGCTGGCCACAGCAAATTGAGTCGGAATGTGCGCGATCCAATAATGAGATAAAGACAAAATATATTGGCGTTTTTTAGACTAATAATCACCTGATAAACAGTTATTACATTTGAAATAATAAGAGATTGGATTAGGTTTCTGTTGCATGTTTTTTAATTAAGAGAAAAACAATTTGGAGGTTTTCAGAATTAATTTATTTTGGATGAGTGTTATTGCATGAAATTGGAAACATTAGATACCGTACAGTCATATTCTATATACTTTGTGCCACTCTCTATTATCGGCTTTACCCTTCCGTCCAACATCATCAGACGATCATCAGTGCAGAGCCAAATCAATTTAACATTAAGTTCTTTGTGATATGGGGAGGGGGGGGAAGAGGGTGGCTGAATGGTTAAAGCGTGCGTGTTGCATCTTAAGGTCTGTCATTGAGTTAAGTTTCGATTCCCCATTTGTATGTGACAAGAAGTAGGGTCACCTGTCCAACCTTGTGGGTTTTCTCCGGGGCCTTCCGGTTGTCTCCCACTGCTAAAGCAAATTAATGAAATAAAATTGAACCATGTGTTAGTCCCGAAATGACCTAGTTTGTGTTGAGAGGACGTTAAACTCTCTCTCTCTCTCTTTGACTCTCTCTACTGTAAAAGGTGGCCATAATATTGTAGTAGGTGGCCATATTCTAGAAGGTGGTCCTAATGTGGTATAGAAATGATCTGAGAAATGTTTATAGTCATATGTGTTAGACAATAATTCCCAATAAGTAGTTTAGTTCTGTAGTTCTAGTAGCTTTAGGTTGTGTATACTGGAAATTTGGTTATCAAAATATGTGGAGGTTAGGCCAGTTCCTGAGTTCACAAAGCAGCATTCAAAGACTTAAATTACGAATTTATTCAAAAATTTTCGCCTTATTTTAACTGAAATATAACTCTTTTGTTGTTTTAATGTATCAAATACATCAATAAGAAACTTTGTGTAAAGTTTTGTGTTTCTTGATCAAAGATATTTCTCATAAACAGTGATTGAAAGTTGCGTGAGAATACATTGTGCACTCCGGAGCAGAATGTCCTGAATTCTAATTCTCCCAGATGACAAACCTACAGACAACACACACTACACATGGACAATACTAGTTATAAATTAAGTGAATTGATTCAGGGACCAGTCGTAAATTGCCACTACACTGTACTTGTGATATGGGCTTCACACAATCTAAAATCAAACTCACAACAATTAAGAAATTGAAAAGATATGGCTGAATCCAGATACATTAAATTTTTTCTGAATGAAAAAAAAAGCATGTATTGTCGCTAGGGATTGCGTTAGTTAATTTTGAGCATTTGGTGTGATAGCCTTGCATTTTGTTTTTATTATTTTTGCTTGGAGTATGATTTTTGTTTTTGTTATTTTATTTTCTTTATTTACGATTTTTTTCCTTTTTTTCTATGGAGAGAAAATACAATCGGATAAAAATTAGACTACACTCCTGTCTTATCTTCTGGCATGGTTTCCCCTTGTCAGTGGTGCAGGATGGAGGGCCTGACAAGGACAACTGTCTAGTCATGCGGATAGGACGAGAAACTGAGGGTTGGTTGGCCGAATGGTCTAATATAAGAGCTTAAGATCATAAGGTCTGTTGTCATTGAGTCAAACGACGTGATTTCAATTCTCACAAGTAGTCGGTTCACCTGCTTAACCTTGTGGGTTTTCTCCGGGTCCCCTTGTTTCCTCCTAGCATATTATTGAAATATATTTTATCATAGGTTAGTCCTAAAATGACCTAGCTCGTATCGAATAGAGTCCCGTGTATACATTGGCATGCATGTAAAAGATCCCTTGGCAGTTGGAATTTGATATTAAAGTAGGCCATAGGGCCGCTGCCTGGGCAAAATTTCCCTCATAGCACACTGTATGGCGTATGCCCGTCTTCATTAGCAGAACAGTAGGGCGTTAAACCCCATTTCATTTCAGTAAAGAAATAAATATGGCCCTGTACAGCTTCTGTAAAATTATTTTATTGTTTTGTCTTTCTTTGTTTTCTTTTTTGTTCGTCCCCATGATATCATATTTTTACCTATACTTTCTGTTTAATTAAACCATTGTACTTGACCTTTAAACTTTAACCTTGACCTTTAAACTTTAACCTTGACCTTTAAACTTTAACCTCATGTGACCTATATGTTACATCCTTATATAGATATATATTGACGTGTTTGTACCATTATATTTGTACATGATGTCACTTCCTGCATGTACAGCTCCATCTATATATATTATCTATTTATTACTGTTATTCTGGTATGGTTGGAGCCACGGTGGCTAAGTGAGTAAGACGCTGGCTCGCTAATCTGAGGTCGCGGGTTCGATCACTGTGTTGGCCGAGAAATTTAATCAGGATTTTCAGGACATTAAACCCCATTTCATTTTGGGTTGTTTTTTTACCATCTTGGCCTGTCTGCGGCACTACATACCTACCTCCTTTGTGACCAGCTAGGGAACACAAGTCTGAGATATCACCCTGGGAGGAACGCCAACATAATAGAAGTTAATTCTTTTTTTTATTTAGCTTTTTTCTTTTCTTTTCTTTTTTTTTTATAAAATAATGAAATCAAACACATTTAATAAAAAAAAAATCCATTATTATTAATTCTTTTGACAAGAACATTTTTGATCGCTTTTGCTGTCAATCAAACCAAGGTCATGACTGTTATAACACCCATGATTTTGTTGCCATGGTAACTTATAAGTTAAAAAGGAAAATATTGTTGCAACAGTTTACAAATTTATGAAAGATATTTGATTTCAACAGCATCAATGTTGGATTAAAAACAGAATTCTTTCTTCGTACATGCTGGTAGATTTTCCAATTTTATGAAAGATAATTCACTTGCAACAGCAACAGTATGTAATCATTGGATTAAATTTTTCTTTGTAAAAGAATCTATTTAAATATTTAAGAATCCCCATGCAAAAGCAGTAGAATCAGCATCGTAACGTTTTGGGTATCGATACCCTTTATCAAATTATTACCAGTGTGTCCAGTCTTAGCTACTCTTATAAGGGAGTGTTGCAGTTCCTCTTCTCGTATTCAAGAATCTATTTAGTTGAATCTGATGCACGCTTTTTGATATATAATTAGTGGTCTTTATCCTTCTATAAATACATATAATTAGTTGTCTGTATCCTATATAATTGATTTTCTATACAATCTTGTAGTTGTTGTTGTATATTGAGTTACCAAGTCAACAATATTTCGTATTCAAGAATCTATTTAGTTGAATCTGTTGCACGCTTTTTGATATATAATTAGTGGTCTTGATCCTTCTATAATTACATATAATTAGTGGTCTGTATCCTATATAATTGATTTTCTATACAATCTTGTAGTTGTTGTTGTATATTGAGTTACAAAGTCAACAATATTTCGTATTCAAGAATCTATTTAGTTGAATCTGTTGCACGCTTCTTGGTATTATATATAATTAGTGGTCTGTATCCATCTATAATCTATCTTCTATACAATCTTGTAGTTGTTGTAGATGTGGTATAATGAGATATCAAGTCAACAATATTTCTTATATATATATATATATATATCTATGTCTATATATTACTTACTTTAGCAGCAGAATCATCACATGCTTAGCATGGCCAACATCAGTGGTACTTTTATAAAAACAAGTGCCAGACTCAGTATGGTTCAAATTATTGTTGTATGTTTGTTCGTACATTTGTTTCTATGTCATGTCTAATGTGTGCCTACATGCTAACTTGTCTAGATGTCAACTCTTCTAAAAGTCTACTGGATAATAGAATCTATCAATTTGATAATAAGGGCAATCTTTTCCATAATAAAGTCTATAATAACTTGATAATAAGGACTATCAACTTGATAATAAGTCTGTCAGCTCGATAATAGAGTCCATTAACTAGATAATAAAGTCTATCAACTTGATAATAAAGTCTGTCAACCTGATAATAAAGTCTATCAACTTGATAATAAAGTCTGTCAGCTCGATAATAAAATCTCTCAACCTGATAATAACGTCTGTCAGCTCGATAATAAAGTCTGTCAGCTCGATAATAAAATCTGTCAACCTGATAATAAAGTCTGTCAGCTCGATAATAAAGTTTGTCAACCTGATAATAAAGTCTGTCAACTCGATAGTAAAGTCTATCAACTCGATAATAAAGTCAGTCAACGTGATAATAAATTCTATCAACGCGATAATAAAGTCTGTCAATTCGATAATAAAGTCTGTCAATTCGAAAATAAAGTCTGTCAACTCGATAACAAAGTCTATCAACTTGATAATAAAGTCTATCAGTTTATCTACACATCACCAACAGCATCGCAGATCCTTTCCATTGTTAATTCACTATTTATAACTATATGCTGCTGCTGGCATCGCGTAAGACAGTGTAAACTTACTATATGAGTAGATTAACCCTTTGACTCTGAGGCCTTAAAAGTTGCTCTCTTTTTGTTTATCTCACAAGTTTGATCTTATGTTGTCAATCGTACCAGAAATCAAGAGACTCAAGTCCAATCACCGGTATGTTGATATATTTCCGATTAAGAAGACTTTTGTCATTGTCTAACAGATCTTTTGTACTTTACAGCAGAGTTTTCACTTTAAAATTCTGACTTTTTTGGTTTGGGGG